TGGCTATTAATAAGACGTTTAGGGAACTAAGATCTCTAGAAATAGGAAGTTTCGAGCTTACAAAAATTTGAGAAATAATCAGTAAAGAAAATCGATCGGTCATGTAAATGTCGAAAGATTGTCGAAAAAGAGCCAACATTGCAGTTTCGCATAATGCGAAAATTGCCTGTAGTCAGCACAGCGACACAAAAGATGGCAGCTATTATATGGAGACTTGATCGACTTCGGCAAGTATATAGACTTCTTCGAATGGTTAGAAACAAAGAACTACGAGTTTTGTGTGCTCTTTATTAGTCGAAAAAACTACGAGCATTATTTCGCAATTCTAGGAGCATACTGTAAGAATTGGCTCAAAAAAGATTGTGTACTAATCTTTTCAGTCGAGTCAGATAGACCTGTCCTCCTGACCAATAGGAATCAAAGCTCGTTAATATTCGCAGCTCACAAAAATGAAAAGTTTCTTCAAATTTTCAATAATACTTTATCTGATTTTTGGAGAAATCCTCGAAAAGTTGGCTTACAGGACATTTCTTCAAGCACTGCTAAGTTCGTTTCTGCGCTCTTTTCAGTTTTGATTCAATGATCTATGAAATTACAGTATCCTCTTGAAATCGGAAAATGAATGCCCTTAACTGTTCAAATACAGACATTCCCTCAAACTTTTTTTTGAATAACTGGACTCCTCGAAAAAAGGTTCCGTAAATTTTGTTTTTTTTTTCAATAGACTCGCTGTTCGTTTTTCAGAAAATTCAGATCTCATATACCATTATCTCATCAAACAGAGTTTTCTTCTGTTTCTCGAGATAAAACGAAAATGGGAACTCTTTGTAATGCGATAATACTATGTAATCATCGTCAGGACGACTGTAGGCTGAGGAAAAAATATTTTACGCCCACGGAATCCTATAAAGTCTTTATTGTTAGATCTCATTTCGCTTTATGAAATGGGAATACAAAAAGCTTTTTGAGAGAAAGACAAGATCATTTTAAAGGGAAATAGAAAGCAATTAGGCAGCACATGAAACGCGCTGGAAATCTTAATGAAATCGAAATGAGAGAATTACTGTTTTTTATTAGATAATTAGCCTACAGTGTACCATTCTAGATTTAGAATAGGTCCGAATCTGGAAAACGCGGACGAATAACTCCCCAAAGATTTACAGTACCGGTCAATAAAATATACAAAAACTGTTTGATTTTCGGCCATTTTTACCATTTTCAGTAGTCTGGATCTCGGCTGTCAAATTCTCTCTGAAAATATTTTAAAGTGTGAAACCGACCTAGATTGAAAACTTTGCATTCCAGGGTTTTTTTGAAAATTCTAAATCTTTCAGCTATTTGCCTATTTCTGGAAGACATCCGCTCTTGGCCCGTTTTGGTACTGAGTCTTTTTCAAAAATCGGGAAATATCTGAATAACCATGAACTTGCCAAAGATAATGCGAATGCAAAGTTTTCAATTTAAAAACTTGACAATCAACCTTCAGTGTTCTGGAAATGGTCAAAATCAACTGAAAATACGTTTTTGCGTATCTTGTTGATCACTACTGTAATTCTTAGAACTATTTTATTGCCATTCAGGTATTAGAAACGCCCACTCTGCTTTTGACATTATTTTTTTCTAAATTCAGTTTTTTTTCCTACTCACTCATATGGTTTCTCCTGAGGAGCATCCGTAGCAACCATCTGCTTCATATTATCCAGCCAACTTCGTATTTTGAACAGATCGATTGGATCAACGTTCACACTTCCCGAACTACGCATAGCTGGCGAAGAGTTGATTAGGAGAGCGGCCCCTTCTTCGGTGAAAAGAAGTCCTTCTTCGTCGCGCTCTTAAAAATGAGAAGGTATTAGAACTTTTTGCTCTAAATGTTATTTAGTTTTTTAGTTTTAGATTTTTATTTTCACACCGAACCGATTCCCCTTTCTTATTTCTTAATTTAGCAATCACCGCGCGTGCCCTAAACGTCTAGCCATCCCCAGAAAACCCCTATCAGAAATAGAACCCTATGAAACAGATGGAATATGATTTAATGAAAACTGCGTACGCACGAATAGAAAAAAAGAAGGAATAAAAAAATAATGACGGAACAAAATCCACAAGGATCACCTATTGAAAAACATTCGTTGTAGGAGAGGACGGAGGAACTTTTTGATTAGGTTTGTTATACATCCGGGGCGGGACACACGTCGAAAAATCTGCGTGCGCCTGTGTATAAGCATGTACATATACATCCAAAAATGTCAAATAGGTGGTGAGTCTGTTTTCTTAGGACTCTGACGTCAACATGATAATTAGTAGGTGAGAAGAGGATAGTTCTAACATCCGGAAGTGGCGAATCTCTCGTCGTTGTTGTTGTCTTCATTGAGCTCCGCGGAAGAGCTCCCCAGGGCCGTTTGCTATGACAACGAATAATTGCCGACTGAGCTCTTTCTTTTTTTTCCACTTTTTTCTATATCTAGACATCTTACTACCTCATCAACAATCTCAAGAGGATTGGTAGTAGGCGTTAAAAGAGAGAAGGAAGTTAAATGATGAGAGCCCCAATTGTCAAGTGGATGATTACAAATTGGCAGACGTCAACAAAACTTCAGATAGCGTCTCAAGAGAAGCTATGATGTCAATGGTTGATAACCGATTGGCAGCCTAGTTTTTAGAAGAGTCGTGAATGATTTCGACAGTCACCGATTGCATTTGGAAATTTTAGATAAGCAGAAACAAGTTCAAGAAGAGCGAACAGAATGCAATGATTTTGAGAGCACGGATGGAAAACGTTGAGAATAGTGAGAGTAATAAACAAAACGGGAGAACCACTATTTTATAAATTATAGGTTTTCTTACTTCTAAAATTGCATTTTTCTAGTTTTCTTTAGAACTTCTGAAATCAAAAATCAGTTCGAAATTATGTACTGACGTTTTTTGGAGTTTGAGAAGTTTTTTTTCTTGGAGTCAAAAACGACAGTTACAGTACTCCTCAATAGGATACAAAATCTTATTTTTCAGTTAATTTCCGGCGATACCGATCATTTTCAGGAGTCCGGAGCTCGGCCGTCAAGTTTCACATCGCTTGAAAATTTTAGAGGATAGAAAACAGACCTAGATCAAAAACTTGGCATTTACAGAAATTTTCGAATATTCTTAGTCTTTCAGTCATTTGACGATTCCTGAGAGACATCCATTTTACAAATATTTTGTGCAATAACGTGAAAAGACGTGTCTCTCATAAATTGACAAATAGCTGAACAACTGTGAATTTTGAAAAAACTTTGTAAATTCAAGTTTTCAATCTAGGTCTGTTTTCTATCCTACGAAGTTTTCAAAGCGATCGGAAACTTCACAACCGAGCTCCAGACTTCTGAAAATACTCAATATTACCGAAAATTGCGTTTTTGGACATCTTGTTGACCGGTGCTGTATAGAAGTTCTGAAATTAGAATCTTCAGGGTTATAACAAGTAATCAGATAATTGCTAACGCTCCTGGAAATTAGAGAGAACATGAAAAATAAGGGTCTTCTGAAACTCAAAAGCCAGCTAATCTAAGATGAAGGAGGGAATAAATAAGATGAGTCAAAATCGCATAACAGAAGCTCCAGTTATTTTCAGGTAATATTTGCGTGGGACTCCCACTACAAAGTAACTAAAATGGATACGAAATCAAACTGGAAGGAAAAAGCCAAAAAAGCAGAAGACCAGCCATTCTGCTCGATGCGTTGAGCAGTTAAATGGGAAGAATGGGAAGGCGGGACGAAAAGGGCTCTGAGACTTTTGACTCCGCCCATCCGCACTGAGCCTTTTTGAGCCAATCGGAAGCACACATTAGACTGAGACTCCGCCTCAAGAGAAGGCGGTATGGAATGTACTAAGCTCGAAATGAGAAACAAGAGATCGGTTGGGTATGAAGAATTTGAAAGTGTGTTTTCGAGATCGGAAAATTTGGAAAAGATAGTAAAAACCTACCCAACAAGAATCCACGATGTTGAGAGGACGTCGATGGTTTTGAGCTACGGACTGGATGAACAACAGACGACGTGGAGGGTTGATCTTCGCTACTACAACCTGGCTCTTCTGAAATTAAGAACTTTCTAACTTTTCAGATCATCGATTTATTATACCATGATAATCATCGGTATCTTGTTGGTGTTGCTTCTCGGCAATTTTGGTTACAATCAAGTGTCTGTACATACTCTCGCTCATACTTTTCGTATCCATAACAGATCCGGCTAGAGCTTTGGTGCTCGACTGTTCATCGTTCAATGAAGTGACTTCGTGACCGGAGTACACTGTGTGTACGCTCTGAAATAAAGACTTTTTTCAATTTTTTTTTTCATAATTGTCATTGTCTAGGTAGGTGTAGCACAACTTAGATTTGGTATTTTTCACTTCCAATTAGCTAGACTTTCTAGACCTTCGAAAAGAGAAATCTAGACTTTTGACTTCTTCGAGTTTTTCAAGTAACCATGTCTGATAATCATGGTATCTAGGGAATTATACCGACCAAGAAACCAATTCAGAAATGTTCTAGTTGTAACATCAAAGTTTGCTGTTGTTTAATTTTTAGGAAAGTGAGAAACAATGAGTCAAAATATTATTAGCCACAAAAGTTAAGGGAATAAATACCAAGGTCTAATAATCTGAAGAATTTAGTAAAGATATGTGAAAAATACCCTGAAATCTGTATTAGAAGGGCCATCACACTGTTAAGCTAAATCCAAATTATCTCAATAGCTATGCAAGATATAAAAAAACGTGTCTACTGACAAAAAACATCTGATAGAATGATTAACATTTTTTGTTGGAAACTTTTTCATATCTTTGACGGGAACCTCGAAAAATTGGCTCAAATTTAAGGGTCGTTCTACTACCAGTTTTACGGTAAAAATATCGTAATCCCATTTCATTTTAAACTTTTTTGTTACTCTATTTTCTCCCACGTCTTATTTTATGAAAATTCCTATTTTATGTTTTCATACTACCGTAGTCCTCAATTATGTTATAACTTCGTCTCCCATTGTGCCATTTTTATTTCTACCGTAGTACGGAGTCCAAGAATTTGAACTTTCTATTTTTAGATTTCAACAAAGTACGACTAATGTTTCATTTTTTATTTGATGTTTCATACGACTAATGTTTCATTTTATTTTTTTAGTTTGGTCCCCCGTCGCGATTTTTTTCCCATAAAATATGTTTGCTAAGCTACCATACTTTGTCGTCATAGTGATGAGACCCAGCCATCGCCTTCACGCTTGCCTCCTCGTAGTTCACTCGCTCCACTGAAAGATGAATATTGGTTGAATATAAAAAATTAGAAAGAAAAATACTCAAAATAAGGATTAATTGTGATCAAATTTGGAAGGGCTGAGTCCGAAAATTCCAAAACGTCCGAAGTTCCAAAAACTTCCAAAGTTTTGAGAGTTCCGAAAATTTCAAAAACTTTGAAAATTCCGAAAGTTCCAAAGTTCCGAAAATCTCGAAGATTCTGAAAATCCCGAAGTTCCGAAAAAATTGTAAACTTTGAAAATTCTAAAAAAATTTACCCATCAAAAAAAAAATTTACCCATCAAACTAAAAAAATTTACCCATCATTATAGTTTCTCATCATATTTCTCTCCCAGTACCTGATTCAAAACTTGTTCGCCGTCCTCTTAAATCCAAATTCACATAGTGCCTCGGACGTATTTCATGTGGCATTGAGATTGCGCTCAAAATAGACGGATCGATGGACACAATTTCCTCTCGTTTCGACGAATCTGACAAGAATTGCGATACGTCAACTGGAGCATTGGCTGAAATGAAAAGATTGGTTGGTTGGTGTTTTTTCGAAGCAGAAGGCAAGATTGAATAATGGTTGGAGCTGCCCCAGAAAGACAATACATGGTCAGTTCAGCCCAAAAACAATCTTTTCGTCCATCTTACTCTATAACCCGCGCCGAACGTCATATTTAGTCATCAATTTGGTTTTTTGTTTCCCTTTAACATTTTTCTTGTGGGGGGCCTTCCATTTAATGTACGTTTTGAATTAGAGGGCGCTTCAAACAGATAAAATACATACCTCCTGGTGTCCCGTACAATTGCTCTTCGTCGATATTTGCCAGAGCGAGAGATGAATCCGAGGACGACAGTCCACATCCTCCATTTCGGCAGAGTGACAGAGGGACGACACCGTATACATAGGCCAGCATGATTGGGACACCGACTCCTGAAAAATGGGTCTTTGTGATTGACATGTAGGGAGTTCAAAAAATCGGATGGGGCAACGAGCTGAGTAGAAGGAGGGACGGCTAAATTTTGCAATGTTGGGGGTTTTATTTTTCCGGGTTTTTAGCAATTTTAACATTTATTATGTTCATGGACCATCAGAAAAAGCAAGGATGTTTGGAATGGCTTCTGCAGGATTTCTCGGAATGTCGAAAATTCGGATTTTCAAAATTTTTTAATTTCGAAAATTCTGGTTTTTGAAGTTTCGGAATTTCTTTTGGGATATTTCGATTTGGAAATTTTGGAATTTCGGAATATTTCAAATTTCAAGTTTTCGAGATATCGGAATACTCCGATTGTGAAATTTTGAAATTTCGGAAGTTTTTAATATTATATTTGCAAAGTTTCAGACATTTGGCATATTTCAATTTTGACATTTTCGGAATTTAGGAATTTCGTAGTTTTAAATTACTCCAACTTTGTGAATTTTGGAATTTCCAAATCTTTCGTTTAAAACAATTCTGAATTTTGGAATGCTCCGGTTTTCAAAATTTTGGAATTTCGAAATCTTCGGAATTTGCAACATTCTCTTCCGAACATCCCTAGGCAAAGGTACCCACCAAAACCGTCAATTTGATCTGAATCATCTCGATTCCTGTGAAAGACACCAGAAATTTGTCAACTAATGAATTATTCATCACAATATCACAAATTGTTTATCAGTTGGCCAAGTTTCGATGTTTTTCACAGTAATTGAGATAATTGAACTTGAAGATGACGGTTCGGGTGAGGTTCTATTGAAGAAAAAAAAAGCATTATGATACTTTTCAAGACCTTACAAACTTGAAAAAAGATTATAGCCAGTTTATATGTCCCATCTCTACAACTTCCCTCCCTCCCACCCATCATTTTGTTTACTTTGTCACCAATTTAGACTTACCTACTGCCATCACCGCCATCACCGGACTAACGACAAGCGATCCCACAACGCATGTCGCCGTGAGCAGACGTCTTTTAGCTTTTGACTTGTACTTGAACCTCTGGTGCACTTTTCGCCCTACGAACACAGGTACACCAAACACGATTCCTGGTATAGAGAGTCCAGCGATGAGCGCGATTCCAAGTGGGGCGCCGATGAGGGTTCCTGTAATTAATCTTCGTCTTAATCGAATTCTAATTGGTTGTCCTTCAGGAAGGTCGCATTTGATTCGGCTAGCCCAATAAATTCCTATTGACGTTATTTTTTTTAAAGTTATTTTTCAGAAATTACAACTAGCCTATAATAAACTAGCCGATAATGATTATAACTATTATAACTATCATTTTAACTATTCCCCACCAATCTGCCAAAGAAGCTTCTTCTTCCTTGTCCATGGTTTCTTTCCCCAAAAGGTGCATCCTGTTGGACTTAGATAATGAAGGTCCGAGATCTCTTTAAGGCACAACCAGCAGAATTCCGCATTGCACATTGTACAAACCATGTGATTACATGAACCATCATCCATCTTTACGATATATGTTTTACAGCGAGGACACGCTTTTACATCACCGGCTGAAAATAGATAATATGATTGAATGATAACTTGGAAGTGTGGAGATAAGAAATATCCAACTTACGTTTCAGTGTAGAATCAGCACTTGGGTGGAAACCGTTTCTCATAATCTCCTCAAAAGCGAGACCTCTACTTTTCCGTTTCTCTGGACGTCGTGCCTCATCACAAGTCTGATTTGAATGCCATTCTCGTTTGCAGTGATAACAAAAGAGGGTTCCACACTCCGGACGTTGACACTTCAACTGTGGGCAAGCGGCACACTTTGTGGCAATGAAGACGAATCTGGAAAGATCGTTTTTGAATGTCTTGTATTTTCATGTTTGGCACATTCTAAGTTTTCCAGTACTTTTCAAATCTGGCCCTAATGTGCAGGTAATCCGCATCTCCTCCCAAACTTTTTACTATTCTTTCAGATGGAATAATTAAAAAACTTTCCTTTAATGGTCTCACCCACGCATTTTTTTTCTCAAAACTTGGCCCTTATCATTTTTTGGAATTCCTCAACTTAAATGAGCTCATAAACGACCAGACTTCACTTAAGAAGGAAAACAAACCCTTCAATTACGTAATTGCTCTGAACGATTTTTTCGGTAGAGTAAACATCGTACAGCTCATAAACGCTAATTTTATTGGGGAATTTCATGAGTTCGTTTCTTTAAAAAAAAATAACTATTCCTTTCGAGAAGTTCTGGTTTCGAAAGAGTCCGAAATTGCAAGCCTTTAAGGGACAAATGAAGTTTCTAGCTTTTAAATAATCACCAATTAATAAAAAGATGTTGCGGTTGTCTAGTAATTGTGACATCAAAACGAAGATCTTCTAACTTTTTACTAACTGAACTGCCAACGTGAAATTCGTTTATGCTTTTTGAGCTGCTCAGAATATTTTCATAATTTTCTGTCTTGAGAATTTTGCTTCGCTTTGCAATACTCTTTTAAGAGTCGGAGTCACGTCATGAATACATGTTTTATTACACCTGATCAATAAACCAATTAAATTAAATACATCGGACATCAACTGTCTTATTATGCATTTCACCTTTCTATGGTTTTATTTCTCGCTTTCGCAATTTTCCAAATGTATTCATACTGCAACGAATGTCTATATTCTTGACCAGAAATACTCTGCCGATTCTATTAATCTACAGTAAACGAGTCCAATCAATTTCCTTCAAAAAAAAATTAAATCAGGGCTCCTTTGAATCGTCGAGCACGCCGATAAAAACTCCAGGGGTTCATTGATCAACGATAAAGAACTGGGGCACATAATCATAGTTCAATTCACATAGCATTGTGTTTTACTGCTTTTCTTATAAATTATTGGTTCTATTCCAGAATGAATGGGTCAAAGACCGTCGTTCCTAAAAAATATCTCTGGTCCCAAAGATCATAGTCTTAAAAAAACGACGAGTGCCCCATTTCTGCTACCATTGCCCCACAGGCTTAGCCACGGTCTCATCTTTGTATCACGAAGCAATCTGGGTAGCCCAACCCAAAAACACAGTGAATCCTGTACTCACCCGCAATCTGGAGCTGGACACCAACGTGCATCGGCCTCCGTCATTAGGTATCGTCGAAGACTGAACGCTTCGTACTTCTCCATCAATGTTGGGATGTCGCCCACTACCATCCTGAAAACATTCTCGAATTTATCGACATGTCACTTGCCTTCAAACTCACTTGATATCATTTGGATGAAGAAATGAGGAACACTCTGGACATGGAACTTCGACCCGATTCTCCGTGATTGACAACTCGATATACTGAAACTTATTTGATTCTTATTTGAAGACTTATTTAACTCATGATAATAGTTCCTTACATGTCTCAAGCAAGTCCTACAGCTTCGATGCTGGCATCCTCTCAATTTTGGGAACGAACTGCATGGAAGTTTGGCGGCACACAACGGACACTCCTTCATTTTTCCTTTACCCTGAAATAAGAATTTTAAAATAACAAAATTCAAAACATTCGACTGCTAAATCAAATGCTACACATTTGACTTGAAAAAATGAAATCATAAAATTTCTATCGGCAAACAAACTATACATCTAAACTTTTGTTTTGAAAGTGTGCTTTTTTGAAAACGTGAGTTCCCAGAGCTCATTAGCGAGGTTTTCGATAATTACAACTTTCTGACTTTTGAATCTTTCTAAATTTCACTCTAATCCTATAATGATTCATAACTTGAAAGGTGAACAATAAGTCACAAGCCAATTCCCAGGCCAGGTCGCACAACCTCTGATAAAAGTGAGAGTGAGTGGAATTCAAAATGATGAAAAAAACTAGGAGGGAAAGTCAATATGTACCTGGATTTGAAAAAAAGTGATGGTTGTATAAATAGAGGTTACCCTTTGAATACTCTTAACCTATCGAAATGTCTTGATAAGAGTATGGTCAAAAGGTTCATTAGAATAAGTAGAAGCTTTTTTATTTGAACACTCTGAGTACACAAAATTTGAAAATGTACGTTCAAATTAGTGAACACTTTCAAAAAAGGGCCGGAATTTCTAAACCATTCAGAACCGGTCAATAAATTATTGTTTGGAAATTCCGCTAATTGCTAATTTCCGAAAAACACCCCTTTTAAGTTGTTTTGTTGAAAACAGATGTCTTTCAGAAATCAGCAAACAGCTGAAAAAATTGGAATTTTAAAAAAATTTGTACGTGCAAAGTTTTCAATCTAGGTCTGTTTCACACCTTTTTAAATTTTCAAAATGATATTAAACTTGACAGCTCCAGACTATGGTCAAAATTTCCGGAAATCAACTGAAGAATACTTTGTTATATCTTACTGAACGCTACTATAGATGAGAATCAGAGATGCTCCGAACGAAATTCAAAAAACTCTGACCATTCACTTTCGGAGGAATTTTTTTCGGAATCAAAAAGAATTTTTGGATTACGGTATTTCAAAAATCACGAGAAATTTTTTGCAGATCGCGAACGGTTTTATTTTTAATTCTTTTTTCCCATTTTGGAAATCTGCATGTCGATGTGAAATTTCGATACACGGATTTCCTCGAAACTCCGAAATTTCACCTTTTTAGCTCCGGCGTCTGCTGGTGTCTTAGGAGTTTCTGGTAGCGACTGCGATAGCTTTTTCTCATCAGTCTGTTCTTCATCATCCTGATTACGTGATGAGAGCAGCATTTCAGCACACGTCTCGCCTCCTTCACTGTCCATTCCGGATCCTGTGTCGCTACCACGATAACTGAAAATTTTTTTGTCATTACCACCGATAAAAATAGAGGGGTTGACGGGCTGGAAAAAATCAGCTCGATAATAAAATCAATAAAATTAGTTATCAGTTAACCGGTCACGTTTTTGTTCCAGTAAACAGTATTGCACAAAAAAGGAGCAAAAACAGGAGCAGCGTCAGTATACGAAATTTCGAAAAAAGAAAACGAATGTTTCTGACTGTGTTTGTTTCCCGAAAAAAAACGAGATTGACACAAAATGAAGATCATCAATCAAATCGGGAATGCTGAACAGTGTCCGCGTCATAAATAATGCTATGGAAATGGGCAGGACAAAAATGGAGAATAGGTTTCTTTTTTTTCATGAATACTGATTTTTTGGTTTTCAATGTTACATTGCCACCGTATCGCTAGACTCTATTGTTATATAAGAAGAAAAGAGTGCTGAGATAGATTCTGAATACCGAATTCTGAATTTTCGGAGAAAAGCAACTAGCTGTGGGAAGAAAAATAAGAAAAATAAATTTTCCAACTAATACTAACCAATGAGAAAGTCATGAAAACTCGTGACAAGCGTCTTATCATGAAATATGAGAATATGATATTATTTTGCAACACCAGAAGTTTTCAATTTCCTTTTTCTTGTTTATAAACAAAACTGACTCACCGTTTCGAAGAAATCGATCCGGAAACGTTACTGCGGACGTCGCTGCTAGAAACGCTTGTCATGGCGACGTGTCCAGCGTTGTCGTCGCTGTAGGACCAACCCGAGCGAGATCTGGAAAAAGAAGTTTTGAAAAAGAGAAAAGAGGACAAATGAAATGCGCATAGTTGAGTGAAACGTTTTGGAATGTTCGGGAAAATTTCCAAAGGGGAAAGTTATGAATTGTTTTGTAATAATGGAATTGAATCAGACTAAAAATGTTTTTGCAGAGATCTGAGACAGTATTCATGAACGTTTACCTAGGTAAATCATTTTCAAATTGAAGAAAACTTGTTTATCTTTTTATAAAAACTCCTTTTCTTATGAAGTAGGAATACTAGTTTAGTTTGATGTCTACACCCAATTTTTGTAAAATTCTCATTCTAAAAATGTGTTTTATTAATCGAACAGAATTATAAAATAAATATGGTTTAACTTTAGACATAAATTTCGTTTCTATTCAGCTCGAAAATTATAAGTTCTGATACAAACAACATGGATGGATAGAGCTAAAAATTTAAAGTAATGTGCCAAAAAAATGATCATTTTTGAGTTTATAGAGATTGAGAAAATCTAATTCACAAATATTTTTCCGACTCTGTAAGTCGAAAAATGATTTTCAAAACGCTTAGCACCCGCTATCAGTACCCTATTGATAATCAATTTAGTTCAATTTTGAAGGGAAATGTTCATAAATATGGGCTCTTGTGAAAAAAATGCATCTGAGACAGAATTTTGGAATTTTTTAGAAGTTTTTCGAAATGACACACCTATTGTCATACCTAGCAGAAACCTGAACGCTTGTAAATATTTTTTAGACAAACTCAATTTTTTTTAAATTCTGTTTTTAACTAGTGAAATTTGAGCGGTTGAAAAGTTGTTCGCATTCTTGACTCCTAAATAGAGACTAAACTAACAGTCAACACGTGTCTTGGCAACCACCCCTCAAAGTTTGATCAGTATATTTCTAGAAGACAAACAAAGAATAGACGTACACATAGTAGCTGATTGAAAATAGCAATTTTCTGTTGGTTGGCAGTGGCGAGAAGGGAAAAAAGAGAAAAAAAAACATAATCGCCAGATGTAACCGACTAGTAACCGTCTTATCAGTGCTCAGTGTCAGGTGAAAAGTATGTTTCATAAGTTATCAAGCGGTCAAAAATCTTAGGAAGGGACCTTTTCGGAATTTTTAATATGGAAAACTTAGGAATAGTCAAGAGGGAAGCAAAAACAAGGAAGGTGGGGTCGATTTGTTTTGTTTGCTATGGGAGTGAGATCGAAAAAAAAACACATATAGAGAGTATACACGTAAAAATAGGGGAAAAAAAGAAAGAGAGAGAGAGAGAGAGAGAGAGAGAGAGAGAGAGAGAGAGAGAGAGAGAACGTTTCATTTTATATACACTATGAGTCACTGATAAGGACTCTCGTTAAACAAGTGTCAAAAACCCAAGAAAGCAGTGGTTTTTACATTTCTCTATTCTTGTTAAATTTCAAAATTAAAATGTCTCAATTAGAGTACAGATGAAATAAATACTATTCAAAAATCAATATTTTCGCAGAATAGGGTTGAAAAGAAAAACGCCTAAATTGAACTTTCTTTTTCTCAATGTTCCAAAAAAACTGATTCCGCAAATTAACCATTTTTTCCGCCACTACAAAATTTCATAACTATTTTTTCAAGACTTATCAGGGAAATTCTCACAAAACTTGTTTTGATGGCTAGACAATTTTCAGAGATTTCATAATTCATATCACTTATAGAACTTTTGAACAATAAATTTTTTTCCAGCTGCTTTTTAAACATGTTTCAAAAATAAAAAAAAATGATGTGGGTATAATTATCAAACATTTTAGTGTCTCATGATACCAGACTCAAAAAAGTGGGGAGAGTTTGGACTACAAAATTTAATTAAACTCGGGCTTGTCAATTAATTGATAAAAAGTACGATTTAATTTTCCATAAAACATGAATTTCGTGTTTTTATGCAAAAAGAACTTTTCTAAACCACAAATTCTTTGACAAACTTCAAACAGGTGATTTGAAAGTAGTACTGTAACCCATGAAGGCAAACCTCGGTGAATGTTAGAAAGAACAGGTGATTCTCCACCTCAAAACTTCAATTCTCCCCAGTTAAGTGTTTACTTCACAATCCAAATAGTTCGACAATGTTTCCAACTGAACGGGGCAACTGGTTGTACACTATTCTTATCTGTTCAGACGGTTTTAGAGACTCTTGCTCCCTAATTTCCGATGTTTGCATGAGTCAATCGTCCTAGACTGGAGAAAAAAAATGAAAAGAAGTTCGCAGGACTCTATTTTTTTTCCGATATTACTTACTGTGATTGTTTGGCATGGCAAAAAAAAGAGTAAGAATGGCGAACCCGGGTGAGAGGGTACAGAGTAGGATGGTTGCGAATAGGAAGGAACAAACCGCTAAAGAACAAATAGTGTGTGGTGTGTATGTGAATGTCTCTACTTTTTCCTAGGCCTTAGTTTGCCCCGGGGAGAGGAGGACAAAAAAAGAAAGACGAAAAGGGTCGGAAATGACAGACAAAAAAAAATGAAAAAGAGAGAGAGAGAGAGAGAGAGAGAGAGAGAGAGAGAGAGGGGGAGGGTTAGTGAGGACTCATACTCTGCCAAATACTGTCCACAAAACTTGTCGGATCAATATGGAAAGTCTTCTAGTAACAGGTATTTTTCACACGTTTTGTTATGACCGATGAACAATTTCTCAACGAACAATTTTAATGCAAAAATAACCGGACAACGGATTTCCAGATGTGAGCTCATCATTTTTGGAAAGAATTCTATTCCGAAACGTTCTAGCGAAAGTACTGTTCACTAAATATGTGAAAGCTTTGAAAGAAAGTCTTCAGCTTTAATCTACTTTATCTTGGTTCCTGTCAAAGGTATCAAAAGTTGTCAATTGATAAATTGTAAATTGCAATATCCTCTTCAGTTGATCACTTTTCCATATTTCTTATAGGGACCGACAAAAATAAGCTCATAACTAACGGTTACTTCAAGTTGACGGTTGGGAGGCATTACCAAGTTGACGGTTGGGAGGCATTACCAAGTTGACGGTTGGGAGGCATATAATAGAACGCCACCCGAACTTTTACCTTTGAGTCAATTTATCTCGGTTCCTGAGAAAGATGTCAAAAAGTTATCAACTGAAAATATGATTGTGATATTAAAATTGACATTTTGCTAGTGAACCACTTTTTAATATCTTTGACGGGAAATGAGATATAGCGACTCAAAGTAAACGGTTTGGGAGGCGTTCTTTCAAAGTGTAATATGAGACTTTTCACAGTAATTTGTAAAGAATAAAACTTAATGAGATTTCTATTTATTCTTTTCTTGAGAAGCTGAACCTAAGAAAAAAAATTTTTTTCGACTTATTCCTGAGGACAACAGGTGATATACAGAAAACAAAAGAAAACGGGCGGCATCTAAGCGCTTCTGAGAAAAAGAGGAGAATTAAAAATTCGTGAGCTAAAATACAGAATATTCATCATTCATTGTGAATGTCAAAAGCTAGTGAGCGGTTTCTTTCCGATGTTTTAGTTTTGGTTGCCACCAACAAAGGCGGTGCTGCCGTGGTGGCGGAAAGGACAAGCGGAATGACGTAAAGTTGAAAAAAAACCACAAAAATAGTTGGTCCAAAAAAAGTGAGAGAAGGCATACTTTTTGGTCTTAGTAGAGATAATAACAGGAGGTTTTTCCACGACACTGAATGAAAGTACTAAAGGAAGTCGCAAAAAAGAGAGAGGGAAGAAAAAGGGCTGGAGTTCACAAATTGCGGAAAAAAGGTTCCTGAATGCTAAAGGCTCAGAGCTCCAAAAGCGCTAACTATCTATTCATAGAACTTCTGTTTTTTCATAACCCAACTTATTCGTCTTCTGCAAAAATGAGAAAAATGAAATAAAAAGAAAAACGACCCAAAAAAGGTCATTGCAAGTGAGAACAAATGGCTCACAAAAACTAAGCTACCAGGATTTGTGGTTAAGTAAAGTATAAAAAGAATCGTCGTCGCTATTTTGCCGAAAGTGAAAAACGAGAGAAAAATGAGAGTAGAAGAGGCTTTAAAATAAACACAGAACCACAACCACACTAACTCTTGAAGAATAAAAAAATAAAAGAGAGGAAGAGAAGAAAAAAGTGGAGCAGTGTAACATTTGTTCACCCAGGGTGTTCCTGATATATCAGGCATCTTTTAACCCCGGAGGAGCAAAAGAGAACATATGTGAAAAGATGTTGTTCTGATGGTGGGAAGTGATTCCATAAGCTTTTTCACCTAACGAGAAAACCAGTAACTTGTTTTTGATTGTGTCAAGTTGTTAAAAATATCGGAAAATAGAAACCGGAAATTTTGACCATAGTTCAGATTAGTAGAAGATTACTGACGGAATATATACCTAGGTTACAGGAAAATTTGAAAAATAATTTGAAATGTTGGCTGGCAGTGTTGTGATTGGAAAATAGAAATCAATGACTCGTTATTCTTTATCGAGATATTGTATTCGCTTCAGAACCCACGCAAACTGTTAACCTCAAACTCAATTATCTCGTCTCCTGTGAAAGATATCATAATATTGTTAATAAACCAAATATTACCAATATCATGCTAATAATTTACCAGTTGACAACTTTTTGATATCTTTCACAGGAATTAAGATAATTGAGCACAAAGTTAACGGTTTGATCGAGTTTCTTTCAGAGGAAATACGGTAAATGAAAATTTCGATTTTATCATTTAAAAAAATGATTCAATATATTTCATTGAAATAAATGCAATGTTTTATAAGCAAGCTCTAATCGAAATAAAAATATTTAGGCCAAAATATTCTAAATTAATAGTGAAATTAACACCGTATCTTTTGGTGTCATGTGAATTTTTAATATTCTATTTTAAGCATAATTTTGGGCAAGCCCCAGCAAATCAGAGTTGATCGATTTTTAAAGGTTATTTAAATAAAATAGTTTCAACTTGAATAGGTAGCCCGTCAATACAATATCAAA